TAATATTCTTATATACACACAATGTTAGTTGTGTATACACAAACGGTATAAAATAGTATAAAATATACTCTGTCATTAATTGCACAGTAAAACAAGTATATGTATAAAATACTTTGCGTTGCGTTGATTAAGTCAGATTTTAAAATTCCCAAGATTCCATCCATCTTAAAGAATGCATCGAGCTGTCGGGATCCATAGCAGATGGACCGTCCATCCCATAAGCCAACGGCGAGAACAGATAAAAGCTGTAATTTAAATTAAAAATATAAAATTTGATTAAGTCTTAATCTCTCGATATCATTTTTTAATAAAAATCCAAAAGAACTTTAATTTTTAAAAATATGTACAAATTATTTCATTGTAAGATTAGAATTGAATGAAAGGCAACCTTTACCTGTAAACAGTACCGGAAATTATAATTCCTAATATGACATGATAAAACGTATTTCCCACTTTGCTGGGTAACAGCAGCAGGAAGCTCTCAATAACGTGATTCAATGTAATCCCGGTCAGCATGGAGCTGTACAGTAACGCCGGGAAATAATGGTGAAAGTACAGTACCCTGGTCATCGCCCAAAAAGGTGCATAATGCAAGAACCACCCGAGGAAAAGCCACTTGCCGGCATGCGTTATTTTGCTCTGCTGTTTGAACATGATAGCATCATCGATATAGCCCCGTTGCTCACGCACGGAAGCGTGGACATAAAGAATTATAAATATTACAAGAAAGACTATGTTCCCCCACCAAATGATAGGATTGCCGAGTAAATATATCCTTTGATTATTCCCGGAAAAGAATTGCCCCTACAAAGAAAAAGTAGGGGTTTTTTTCAGGATTTGCTTCTTCAAAATTACGACGATTGTATAGTATATAAATTAATTTACTCTATAATTTATAGGCCACTGCCATGGTCGTGAGGACACCTCTCCTTCCTTCACTTTTAGATCCGAATTGCCTTGCAACATCACGGCATGCGACTCCAGAAATCTATCAAGGAATCCTGGCGCATACACGCGGAAACTGACATTTGGTACTAATAAAAAACAGTACAGTGTTATACATCGCTTTAATTGTTAATGATAAACTCAATGGCTTGTGTCACTCGCTTACATTTGGCGTATTGATTGTCCTCGATGTTCCATAATCCATTTTTATCTCTCATGTTAGGATTACAAGAAACCTCTTGCTGGCTATACCCCCTAGATAAATTAAAAGTTGATTGTACAATAGAAAATTTTGTTCTACGCGAAAGATTTAAATTAAAGATTTAATGTAATTTTTATCGCTACTAACCATTTCGGTAACGTTTTGCCGCTACATGTTAACACACAATGATGAAGATAATGCACGAACTTTAATTTACTTGTCACTGTCTCAACTACGTCGCCATCCTTTCCATTCGTTATCAATATTTTCCAAACGTCGTTAGCATCGCCCGTACCGTTCTAAAAGGCAAACAGGAAATACGCTTGATAAAATCGAAAGCAATGCCACATTCAGTTGGAATCACCTTACTTCTCCGTATCCAGTAACTTGATAATGTTTTTTTGATATTGGTGCAATCTCCTTGTGCGAATGTAAATTCCGTCTCGTCGTAATGTGCTCTAGACGCACGAGGTCACCGTGTTTAACTAATTCTGGTTCTGGCGATATCACATCCGTGTCGAATTTCTTCACTAGCCATAGATTGTTATCGTCTTTGTGAGAATAGGTCGTGATCTGTAATCAGATACGTACGTCAAACTATTAGAAACTTAATTTCACTTAATGTCGCCCACTCAAATCATTCTATCATGTGCATTTTCTAGTCTTTTCCAGATGAAATAAGATATATACATCATTTATTTCAATACCTGACAAATTTATAAATCTGTATCTTCTATATAAATTCATTTTGTTTATATTTTCTTTTCTTTATGCTACCTTGTATTAAATACTCGTATATATATGTATTGTAAGTACTCGTATATACATATAACAACCTGTTGCTGTCTGGCGCCGACTCCTTCAGGATATAAATGCCAATGAGAATGTAAGTAACCACCACCTGTGCGATGATTTTTTAATGTAATAGTAGCACCATACGCCAATTGTCGTGGCATTGTAGCGTTGTACAGCGAATTTCCACGTAATAACGACTGAAATTCGGAACTGTAGAAGCCATCGCCACTTCCACTAAGCATAATAATGTTTATTTGTAAATTAAACATTAGTTTGGACACATAATTGTAACTTAAATTATACAGGACATTCTGAGAAATAAGGAAAAATTAACATAAAGTTTATATAAAAATATTTGACGTTAATAGTAACAGATTACGCTCTGTAAATTGATGCAATAATTCTTACCTTTTATTTAAAACGGAAAGATGAATATAAAAAAATAGCATATAAAGTAAAACCGGTAATAGGATGAGACAAAAGCATCTTGCTAACAAATGTTTCCCCACATAAGACTGCAAAAAGCAAAATCCAAATTGTTCTTTGGAAACTTCATCCATTTTCTCAATCTCATACTAATTATTAAATTAAAAGTAAACTTATTAACTAGCTCATTAATCATGTCAATTAAAATGCAAAGCATCGCACCATTTATAACAACACACACAAGTTTAATACTAGAAGATATAATAATTAATTATTTATTTTGAATTAGAAGCACTGAGCAATAGTGCTTTTAATATTCAAAATAAGTAATTCAGTATTATTTGTCGGTATTAAATTGACTAGTAGTCAAGTTAAATTGACTAGTAATATTAAGCTGTATTTCTATAAGAGTAAAAGTTTTGGTATTGAATTTTCATGAAATGACTTACAATAGGCTTAGACAAATCACCCAATTCTCGCCAGAGCTCGTACATGGTATAAAAACCCACAAGCAGAACAACAAAGAGTCCGACGAATTTTACACTGATTGTACATGCAAGTGAAGCTCCGGTGAATGATAACCACAACCACCAGGATCTTGTGAACGATTGATCTTGGAATGATGCTACACGTGCCATGCCCCATGTCGCACACATCATAAAACATAACAATATGGGATCCAGCAGAATATACTGATTCAACGTCAACAAACCTACATCTACAAAGAAAAATAAATCATTTTGTTAATTTGACAAAATTCAAGATTATCTATATCATAAGAACGTTATAATTTACCACATAAGATGAAAAAGGCAGCAAGTGCAGATGCGCGAATGGACTTGGTAAGATCCCATACAATAAGGTATGATAGAGGGACAGTAGATGCACCCAGAATTGTACAGAACTAAGACAGAAAAGTTTCTGATTAAATCTTTACAACTTAATGCTTTCGATAAGTTTTCTAAATTCTTCGATAGATCTTGTTTTATTTTAATTGAAAAAAAGCTTACTCAACTTACAATTCTCATGCCAATGTAATTGACATTTTCGAATTTATCTCCTGGTTTTTCAAAAGCAAATGTTCCATCATAGCCTGTCATATATCCCGACAAAGCAATGAGCATCTCAAAATAGAATATAAAATATTTTTAGTCTCATGTGATAGTTGAATTTTTTGCATAGAAAATACAGATAGAATTTTCTTTTTTTGAAAAACCTACCTTTCCTAAAGGTGGATGTACATCAAAGAAAAACGTCCTATTTATGTACCAACTGCCCATTTTGCCAAAATGTGTTTCGTCCCAACTGAAAGATAGAAGTTTCTAAGAACTTTCTCTTTAAAAAAAAAAAGCTTAGATAAGAGATATTTTTTAATAAAAATTCTTTAATTTTTCTTACCATACATGTTGAGGTTCTGCAACTTTATAAAATCTAGTGATTAAGGTAAGTACAGTTATACCTCCAAATAGGAGCCACCAATCCCTATAAACATAAAACCAACTTACAATTGTGTTGCAATATCTTATGAATATATATGAATATATATAATTTATATGAATATAAATTAGCATGAAATAGATATATTTCATGCTAATTTATCACATTAAAGAATAATATTTTCTTTTTTTTTTTGCAATAATTATTACATTCTGTAATTATTAGTAAACTAGTAAAGAATTTTTTATAGAAAAAAGAACAGAAATATAAAACATAATTTATAGGAATACTTTTGTCGAAGATAAGATGAAAAAAAAATCTCTAGCATTTTAACTTTTATATACTGTAATAAGAAAAAATAAATTTCATCGAAAAGCAACAAAATCATGACATATAAAATGCAATAAAAAGTATATACAATCAAAATAACCATAATTCAAAATTATAATTATACATACGTCCCATTCTCTTCCTTTTTGTTCGTTTTCGAGGTCGCATTTTTCAATTTACAAGCGGTGTCTTGGGTACCGCTTCTCATATTTTACTTCGTTATTATTTACTTGACAAGTAAAGTTGAAATACGTTGCTGCATTTGGAGTAAAATAATACGTATAAACAATAGTGGACAGCCAGATGTACGATCTACTGAATTATATTGCAGCAATTATTAACTTGAGCGTTTCGAATAAATATTCACCATTCGACATCCCGTTATACGACACGTCAAATCTACTGTCAGAGGACAAAGCCATGATGCACGAGGCTATAAACTCATGTATATTTGGGGCGTGGGGAGTTAGAATTTGCACGCCCTCTTGCTGTGGCACAATCAACAAAATAAAATGGAACTAACTAATCAAAATTTGTCGGTAATATCAATAGAATTTAATAAGGAATTTTTGCAATACTATAGTTTTGTTACAAGGAATCAATCATGAAACTTTTTTCCTAGTGAAAAATTTTCACTTTTCACTTTCCATCCTAGAGATAAAGTTTCATGATACTCTGATCACATGTCAGTAATACAGTTTCCTGTCAGATCGAGCATGCAATACTAGACCTGTTCTTTTTGGCTGAACTTTTGCACCATTTCTTTCTTCCTCTTCTTTCCTGCTAAAGAGAAAAAGAAGAAAGATGAACTGAAGTGCAAAAGTTCAGTCAAAAAGAACAGGCTTACTGTCACGTGCGGTGCCTCACGTGCATGAGAATGCGGATCACGAATCCACAAATAGAATAGAGGTTACAAGAGGAAATGTGGGACGGAACTGAAAGAAAAGGGTCATCTTCCTTTTTTTTCCTCGTCGGAGCGAACAATAATAGACTCGGTCACGGGCAAGTCTCTCCAAGTCTCTCGTGATCTTTCGTAGGTCGCCACGTGAGTGGAACTTCTCAATTGAAAAGTCTTAAATCTGGCATTTTGTCTCTGTCTTATTTTCTATTATATCCAGAACGTTACAGAATATATATTTAATATTAACAAATAGAACTTTTATATTTCCGACTTATTAACGGAATTAATCAGGAAGTGTAATTTTATTCCATTTTATCTTTTTGATGAAACAGTATATTTTGTTAAAGAACTTTCTTTTATTCTTGAAGAAAATCCTAAGTACCCTCGAAGCAGCTATAATTCACATTCCTTCTGTAATACAATAAATTAATCGAATACTATGGACAGAAAATATCATATGAGACAATATACAATTCTAAAACAATCCATTTAAAAGAACTCACTAATTGTAAGAGTGGAGATCCAAAGTTTAGTGCATATGTCAGGAATTATTTAGTATTTGCAACCTTCCCGTATTCTCTTTAAATGCCAAAATACTTAGACGGCCACGAGACATACGTTGGTCCAGGAGGAAAAGCGAAATGTGACGAAATGTAAGAATTCTGGGAAATTTAAGAAAACGAAAACAGAGAGGCGTGGCGGCGCGCCTCGTTATGGACGCCACCGCGTTATGCAGCATAACGCGGTGGGGATAAAATCCCGAAATATCGTTCCAAGAGCGAAAAACTTGAGATGAGACACTGCACCGATCGTCACCAGCGAGCTTTGCGTCCGAGCGCGCGGAAACGAGTTCTCTGTCTTCATCTCCATTGAGAAATACGGTAAGAATATTTTCCTTGCCATTCTGCTTCCTTCTTTCCATTCATCGATTTGTGCTCCGATTTATAGTCACCTGTCAGAGCAGTCAATAGAGCAGGATTGTTTGATAGGCTTTCTTTTCACTATAGTGGTCTGTAATAATACTCACAATTGTAATCGTACGTACACGTGTATTAGATGCAGCATGATTAAAAAAAATGGAAGAGATATACACTATGTTTGTAGAATTATAAGCTGTCATTTCAATGCAAGCTCGTGTTCATTTTTGTATTACAGTGTATTTTTAGATGACAGGTGGATATATTTTATATGTGTGTCAAATGAGATGTAATTGAGGAGAATCAAGTAGTAAATATATACTAGATTAAAAGTTTGAGATTTTGCACACAATAGCAATTAATAAAAGCAATAGCAATAATCTAAAAAAAGAGATACTTATTTCTATATAATAATAGAAAACTAGAAGTAGAAAACATGATCATACTGATAATTAAATGAAATAAAGTTTGAATAAGATTTACACTTGAATGTAAAGAAATTTAGAATATTTATATATATGAAAAAATAATACTTAAAGTATACATTATTACACAG